TGAGCAGCAGGAGACCCGATTGTGGCTGGGTGCTCCCACCTTGCCATGCTGTCTTGGAGAGAAATTCCAACCAGAGGAACTACTCAAGGGTCCTTTCGTCCATTCGGCAAAGCCCTTCGGAATCCCGTTAATTTTATAGACCGCCTCGGAGTGATGCCCAGGACATGTAGCTGCTAACAGTTGGCGTATGAACATGTGAAATAAGGATGGTCCAGCAGCCTCAGCAGAAATCGGGCCACCACCCAGGATGTGGGGGGCTTCCAGGAAGGCCTGTCAGCACGTAGGCACTACCACACGCTTGCTCAAACCTCTGCTGCCAGGCTGCCAGGAGCTGCCTGTTATGACCAGGGGAAGTCAGGACATAGAGCGAGGCAATGTCGAGAAAGGGGGACAGAAGGACCCGGAGCTAACCCAAGGGGTCGTGGTTCCAAAAACACCAGGAAAATCCCTGTAAATCCAACCCGACAAAGATGGCCACCCTATTCAGGGGAACTTGGGGAGGGGGCGCCACCCCCAGGGTCCCGAAACCACCATGGGAGAAGCAAGGATGAACAGCCCATACTGCCATGGCTTCTGGCAAACCATCACCCTCCTATCTTCCGGCACAACCGGAAGCAGCAGGCTGCATCTAGCTACTTCAGAAGAAGTCATTCATAAAGACGTTCGTTGATCAAGTGTATTTGCTAAATAGTGGAGTTCATGGTCTTGACCTTGACCTCAAGGTCCTTTGGGGGCTGTTATTAGGGGGCTGCTCCAGCGCCCCTCTCCAGGGATTTCAAGTCCTCCCTGGAGTCAGAGGTCCCGATGATACAGGAGAAAAAAAGATCATGTAGCGAGACTAGGGTCTTCATGTCACTGCTAAGGATACTAGACTTGCTAAATGGAATTGGAGTTTGTTCTACTAACACCAGCTCCTGAGTTACTTGCTTGGAAACTGCCCTCAGAAAGCAACTTGCTACGATTCAGCAAGAAACTACAATTTCTACCCTCAAAACGTTGCAAGATAGCTTCCGATTGTTCAATCCTAATACTTGGTTTCAAGGAACTCGTTCGCAAATGTGGGGAATTGCGTTTCTTGTCATAAGGTAATTCTTTGATGTTGAAGATGCTATACTGTCCAGCTTCGTGCACAGCGAGAGACGACTGAAGCACACGCTGTCCCAGCAGCAATATTACCACCTGCTTGAAATAATAAAGAGGGGGAGGTGCAGGGAAACGTTTCCCTGTGCCCCCTAGGAGGGTTATGGGGTGCAAAGGCTTTGGCGAAACCTCGAGTACATGGCTGAAAGTGCCAGGAACTGGGTGCAAACACTGAGTGGAAAAGAGATTCCTTGTAACAAACAGGAATTCTGCCTTAGGTCAGAATGAGTTGGCCAGTGAGAATGTTTGAGAACATCTCCAGCCTCAAGTTGTGCGCTACTGTTTGATGCCCTCCTGGATTGGAAACTTTGTAAACTTCCTCTTTTGATGCGTTCACAAAACTGTGGATCAGAAAAGCTCGGGGAGGTCTTCGCTCCCTGGAGTACCTCTCTCTCTCCCTCAAGACTCTTGTGTCTTGAGTAGTTGTTATTCCGTCTGGCTCAGGTAACTTCCAGGTGGCGGGAGTGCTACAGCTGGGCTTTGGGAAATAGCATCCCCTAAAGCAGCGGTTCTCAACCTGTGGGTCACGACCCCTTTGAGGTTGAACGACCCCTTTGAGGTTGAACGATCCTTTCACAGGGGTCGCCCGATTCATAACAGTAGCAAAATGACAGTGATGAAGTAGCAACGAAAGTAATTTTATGAGGGGGGCGGGTTCACCACAACACGAGGAACTGTCTGAAAGGGTTGAGGCATTAGGAAGGTTGAGGATCACTGCTCTAAAGGAAGCAAGATGGCCTGCCACCCTTAGCCCCTCTCACCACACAATAGACGTAGCCCCTCAGGAGTTCCTGTCACAAAGGGGCCTTTAATAAACAATGAATGAATGAATGAATCAGCAATTAATGAGCAAAGAGGGAGACATTTATTCCACTGAAGGGAGTACAGAGTCAACAATCAAACCCTTCTGGAAACTGGGTGACCCAGATTTCTCCACGTCTCCCTTATTTGCCAAGTCTGTTAGGACCCCCAGGTCTCCCCACATCTGCTCAGTTATGGGGTGGGAGGGCTCTGTGCCCAGTCCATGGGAATAGGGCTCAAGAGTGACCGCTATCCTTAGTCTGTGCACAGACCCGCAGACCCTGCTCCCTGGGACCCCTTGGCGGAGGTCATGCATCCCAGGCCCCCCAACTCGGGGCCAGGACTGCAAGTACAGAGAGAGAAACCGGGTCCCAGGATCTGCAGGTAGGGCCTAACCTGGCGGTGTCACCGGGGTCGTGGGGCTCTCTGACCTCTAGGGATGGCAGGACCAAGACTTAGGTGTCACCAGCTCCCAGAAGGTTGTCTGTGCCAGAGAGGGGGTGAACTGTGAACGAGGTCTCTCCTGGGACCCACGCTGTACCTTCAAGACACAGAAGCCCACCCCCCCACCCCCACCCCTACCCTAGGCCAGGGCTGTTGAGTTGGGGAGCAGTAGGGAGCTGATGTTAAGAAGGGGAAGCTGGGTGCAGGGCCTGACACTGCCATGGTCGCTCACCTGGGATGGAGGGCAGTGCCGCCGTGCATACCACTCCTGGCAGTAAAGGCTGACCTGGATGCCCTGGCCCAGAAAGAGCAGGGTCCACATGAGTACGTTCCACGCAGGACCCGTGTGCCGGTCATGCATGGTAAAGTTCAGCAGCCCTGGTAAAACAGAAAACAGAGGCCACCCCACCTGCTGGCATCGCTGCCTCTTCTCCTTGGCTTCCCTCTTATCCCGCAGCACCCAGAAGAGGTGGAGCAGGAAGGATCTGTCAGGAAAAGATCTTGAACCTGGCTCCAGAAACCCACGTGGGTCTTAAGTGGCTCACAAAAAGCATTCCAAGCAGAAAACCTTCTCCCACATCCCCCCGATGTCCCTTGATACCTGTCCCCCTACCTCCAAGTCCCTCCCCACTCCAGCTCCTAGACTCTGAATCCTTCCTCCCGTATGGCCTCCCGCCTTAATCTGGGATCGCTTCGAACAGGTCCCTGGTCTCTTCCATGGGGATGACACACGGGGGCCACGCTCACCTCCAAAGACAAGGAAGAGCATCAGCATGACAGGATAGAAGAATCCCAGAACAAAGCAGAAGATGTACTCATGGACCACCGCGGAGACCAGGAACACTCCCAGCATGGCGGCCCCTCGCGCCCGGCCACCAATAAGCTGGCAGGAGGAGAGGAGGGGAGGTAAGCCTCCCGTAGAAAGCCAAGACTGAGTGTGGCACCGTGGGGTCGGAAGGGCGGGAGTTGGTCTTATTTAAGAGCACTTTGTTAACCACGGGGCCTCATCTGCAATGCAGAAGTGGGGGGTCACTGTAAGACTTGATTCCCGGGAAATGGACTGTGGAGATGAATGCTGTTGAAGATTGTGATAGGCAGGTTCCTGAGAAGACCCAGGAGGCGGGAAAGGCCCCAAGGAGGAAGCTGGAATGAGAGCTAAGGAAGAAGTCTGATGGCAAATAAGGCGTATTTGCCCGCTAGGTTGGGTAGAACAAAGGCAAGGGAAAGCCAAGGGTGGCAGGAGTTTGGAAAAGAAGCAGAGGGTAGGAAGGATGGCCCAATGACGCTCCATTAACTGGGGGGGTGGGGGGTGGTTCGGAGCCCGTACCCACAGCCCATCCTGATACACGTAGCTGTAGAGCCAGTCGTGAACCACCACGTTCCAAGTGCGATAGTAGTTGGAGAAGGACGTGGAGTTCCACCAGTCCTGGAAAGGGAATGGGAGGCGGGGCGTTGGCACTGGGCCCTGTCTCGTTCCAGGCCCGCCTCCCTGCCTTGGCTCCTTGGCCTGCAGCCCATCCTAACGTTCTCCCAAAGGGTCCGCTCCACGCCCACCAGACAGCTGGCATCCATCCTCTCAGCTCCCTCCTCCAGATCTGGGCTCCCTGCCCTCCCTCCTAGTGTGCCTCTCAGGAGAGGGGCTTTCCTTGTGCCACATCTACACCCTGGCTGGCTCTGACCTGGAGTGGCATTATGATCACACACCAAGGAGCACTTTTCTTTGTGGGTGCTTGGTGGGCTGTCAGCTTAGGTGAAGCCTGACACAGCTGCTGTTCCCCCCTCCCACCCCCAAACCCCTCCAGCATGCACTGGCCCAGGCCCAGGCCCCACGCGGTAGAACATCCTGTCTCCGAATCGCAACATCTCCGCGAACGCGTTGTGCCAGCAGTGGAGGAAGGCGAAGAAGATGAGCAGTAGCATGAAGATGCCTGGAAGTGGGGCAAGGGGGGGACGTTAGACGGTCCCACCGGACCACCCAAGCTGCTCTGATCTGGGCTCCAAGGACCCCCACCCCCTCTTGTAGCAACCATGAAGTTATTCATTCACTGACGCATGGATCCGTTGACCTGTCCCTTTGCTCATGAACACCGATTGGGCAGATGTTGCACATAGAGCAGTCTCTCAAAGACCCTGGCCATTGGAAGTCCACAGAGTGGTGGTCAAATAAATAATCGACTTAAACATGGCGCCCATTGATATACTTGGGAGTAGAGAGCAAGGAATGGGTCATGGTGGTCGAGGACAAAAACAAAGGAGGCATCCTGGGGGAGAGGGCATTTCCACCATGAACTCCCAAGTAGGAATTGGATTCCATGGCTGGACAATGGGGGAGAGGGCATCTGAGTTGGGGGACCAGAGTGGGCAAAGGCTGAGAACAGGGAAGCGCTTGTCTTTCAGGGAACGGGTTCGTGTGATGAGCTCATTAGGCTGAGAGATTGGTCTGCATGAGCAGGCGAACTCTGAGTGCCTGACCAAGGATTCAAGACTTCTCCAAAGTGCCTGTAAAGGAGAGTCACTGGGAGGCTGGAAGCAGATAGGGAATGATTAAGTTGGAGTAGGGATGTCCATCAGGACAGTGGGGTCAGGGAAGTAGGGAGGGGAGAGATGTGGGTGGCAAGGAGACAGGACTCAGGCCGACTGTGAGGGCTGCCAGCTGGAGGGGGAAGGTGCTGTAGCCGCTGGAAGCGGAAGCGAGAGGGGAGGAGAAGGAGTTCACGAAGGAGCCTTCTCCAGGACCGTCTGCTGTGGGCTCACCTGGCAGTGTGGCATGCAGGACGGAGAGCAGCAGTGTCCGCGTGCTGATCGGTTCCCGGCTCATATTGGCAAAGACAGGAACACAGAGGCGGCCCAGGATGAAGCAGGCATAGAATATGCAGCCCAGGGTCTGGAGGAAAGGGAGGGGTGGGGGGCGACAGATAACTCTGTGAAGGGCACTGCGAGCTGCACTCTCACCCTATAGAATTAGACCCGTGGTCCAACATGGGCTTCTCTTCCTTTAGCACCCCTTCCTCCCACCTCCCCGGATCTCCCCAGAAGATCACGCCCAGAAATGCCTCCTCAGCCGCCCTGAGTAACCGGGGGGCCCACCCTTCTACCCCACCTTCTGACCTGGGCAAAGTTCTTGGCCACATAATTCCACCTGATGTGAGATGTCCTGCAGCAGCAATGGGATAACATGTTTCTCATCCCTTTATCGTGGCCCCAGTTCAGGCCCGCACACAGCTTCTCGGGCCATTGCTTCATGGCTCCCTCAATCGCTCAGGATTATCTGGGGAGGTGGGGGGCGGGGGTCTAGGACACTTGGAATCTCCCATTGCAGAGTGGATGAGAGGACCATACCTTGGGTATCTGCTAAGACGACCAACCATCCCAGTTTGCTCTGGCATGAGGAGCTTCTGGGGACCCCAGATATTCAGCCTAAAACTGGGATGGTCTTGGGCAAATCAGGACAGGTGGTAGGCTACCTGCCACTTAGCCCCCATCCTTTTTATGAGATGCTTCCCGAGAAAGGAGCCAGTGCTTGGGTGAGACTAAGGACTTCCAGGGGGCAGTGTAGACGATGGGAAAGGTCCTTCCTCTCAGGGAGGGGTGGAAAGTCTCACCTGGGGTACGTCGTCCGGTAGATGAGTGTGGGGCAAAAGAGGAAGTAAAGGTAGCTGGAGAAACTGGGGGCCTGGATCCCCTCACCTGGAGAAGAGGAGTGGTCAGAGGAGGGGGGAGGGGCAGAGAGCAGAGGAAGGGGCTGTAGGGAAGGTGATAGGGTTGGGGAGTGACAGCACTGGGGCCAAAGTGAAGAGGGCAAGGGCTAGATGGTGTGGGAAGGGGCAGAATCATCTCTTCAGTAACCCCGGTTTTGCATCCATCCACGAGGCCCCTTCTCTGGTGCAAAACCAGCTGTGGTTGGGGCTTCATGTGTCCCCCACAAAGACTACCATGGCCCTCCTTCCTCTTCTGTCCCGGCTCTCCAACAAACTAGGCAAGGCTACAAGCAAACCCTCAGTGTCCAGGGCAACATGTATGGGGTGGGTCCTGAGACCGTCTGATGCCTGCGGTCCATAAGAGAGCCTCACACAGAGGTCAGCGCTGTGCCCAGTCGGCGAGATGAGTGGAAGAAGGCGGAGCTTCAGGACGGAGAACCCGGCAGAGCTAGCAAGACAGGTGAGGCAAGGGCCGGATGTTCCCACCCTCCTTTTTCAAGTTTGAGGAACTCCTCCGAGCCTTCACGTATGGGCTCAATCGGACCTCACGTCCAGCTAACCTGGTAGCACGTGGAGTATTACAATAGCCTGCGTCGTTTTCAAGTGTCTGCCCCTTTGCAAGGTCAACGTGTTCTTGTTCCACAACCTAGCTCTGCACCATTCGCCCGTGGGACAGGCTGACACTTGTCATAGGAGCAGATGAGGCACGCAGGACCTCCAGTCGAACCCAAGAGCAAAGAACAGCCCGGCGCAAGACTTGAACGGGAGGAAACAGCTGCCCGGGGCTAGCGCACCAGCCCATCATGAGCAATGACCGCCGACTTAGGAGCCTCTCTTTCCGACTCCATTTATGAACACCTGTCTCCGGGCACCTGATTACCATAATCCACCCATGTAGACCCAATTATTGGAATTATTCATCCCGTTCAAGACTAAGAGGAGTCCTGGTGGCCTAGGGGTTAAGTGATGAGCTGCTAACTTCAAGATCCAGTTTCAAAACCACCAGCTGCTCTTTGGGAGAAGGAGGAGGGTGCCTATTCGGGTCAATGATCACAGCCTCGGAAACCCACAGGGGCAGTTCTACCCTGTCCTACAGGGTCGCTAGGAATCGGAATTGACTCATTGGCAGTGAGTCAGGGTTTTCTTTGGGGGGTGGGAGTGAGGGGTGTCATGAAAAACATATCCTTCTTCCTAAACTCCCTTAAAAACCTCTCCTTTTCCCTTATGCCTCCTTTTCGAAGGACCATGCCACATCTCCTCTTGCAAGATACTTCTATAACCAGTCTTCTTGCTTGTGCGGTAAGCTTGGCTTCCAGCCTAACCGGGCCAGGGAAGGAACACCATCCACGCGCGGGACACTCGCTCCTACAACCCTAGCTAAACGCCTCACCTCCATCTCCTCCTGCTCCCCCTGCTCCTCCTCCTCGGGCGGAAAGGGTTGCAGGCACAGCCTCCCTCAGGAAGGAGTAGCTTTTCATTAGCAGCCGGACCTGATGGGGAGTGGAAGGAGGCCGGGTTGCTCCGTGCTCCCGCATGGCAGGAGGGAGGGAGGCCCATTTGTGTGCCCGATTTCCATTTTTGTCCGATCGCCTTCCTGCCGCTGCTGAGATGAGCGGAGGGTAAAGGGGGACAGACGGACACACAACCCATTTCCTTGCAGCCAGCGAGTTCCCGCCAGTGCCTCGCAACGGACTCCGCCCCCAGTACCCAGCGCCGCCCATGTCAAGACAGCGCCGGGTGCCCTTCCTCCAATGGACTCCGCCCCCTCCCCCGGGCACACCCTCTGTGCAAACGGCCCCGCCCACTCCCATTCGCGCTCAGCTCACCTGTTCAAAGACCAGGATGCAGCGCGAGGCCGGCGGGAGCTGATGCTCCACAGCCACGTGGAGCGGGAGGACGCCCAGCACGGCGAGGTGGACGGCCAGCAGCACGCAGCCCAGGCCCGCCCCCAGGGTCCAGGCGCCCCCGGCCCGGGGCCTCGCCCACAGCCGCAGGGCCTGGTAGGGCGCCAGCAGGGTGGACAAGAACATGGGAACCCACGTCACCAGCGCCAAGGGCAGCTGTCCGAAGCTGAAGATAAGTAGGTCAAACTCCAGCAGCAGCCTTGAAGTCGGGGGTGGGGTGTCGGGGGTGGGGAGAGAGACAAAGCAGACAAACTATGACCCATCCTTGGCAGTCTCCTCTTTACTCAGGAGGTTGGGACCCTGGAGCCCTCTGAGAATTTGGGGGTGCTGCAGAAGGGCTCGGGCCCTGGCCACCACAGGTGTTAAGATATGCTCCAGGGAGCTTTTAACTTTGCTTTTTGCTTGTTTGGTGCCTTTGAAGCAGGTGTCCTGGTAGACCAGAGCTAATGGAGTTCAGCCTGTCCGGCTCTAGAGGGCGTTCTGGAGGGAAACCTATGCACCCAGGTAATTGTATGCAAGTCTGCCTTCCCCACAAGACTGGGGTCCCTCACAGACAGGGATGGGGTCTGCCTGCTGTCCTACCAGACCCTGGACCTGGCTCTTAGTAGGTGCTTCATGGAGATTACTTGGATTGAATCAAACGAGCAGTGACAGCCGGGGCACAGCCCTGAGGTGTGCCTACACACACACACACACCACGTGCTATCTGCTTCAGGGTCAGGTCCCAATAAGGAGAAGCCCTTGGGAAGGGGCAGGGTGCCCTCAGAACGGCTGTTCTTGGGAAGGGCTCCAAGGTGGGTCCTTGGTTGAAATGCTGTTGGAAGCCTGAGTGGAGTTAATGCCTGTCCAGGATCCACGAGGGATCTGTGGTCCCGTGGTCCAGTGGCAGATGGGGCCCTGGGGACCCAGGAGTTCAGATCTGTGTGGCTCTCCCGGCTGGGAAGGGAACCTACCTGCCCTCATCGATGAAGTCGATGGCCAAGGTGCTGATGATGAAGACACACAGCCCGGCGATGAACATGTGGTAGATGGTGCGAAAATGCTGCACCTCCATTAGCTCACTGGAGGGACAGGGCAAGCGCAGTGTGGGCCAGGGCCTCAAGGCTGTCTGGACTAGCGCGGGCACTGTGCACATGAAGGCATGGGCCTAGTGATTGGGAACGTCCAGCCAAGGGCTAGGATGTGGCAGGTTTCGACCCCAAGTCCTTTCCTGCCCTGGCACATCTCTTTTTTAGTGGTTATCCTTCATAACCACTCAAAACTCAAAAACTCACTGCCGTCAAGTCGATGCTGACTCATAGTGACCCTCTAGGACAGGGGAGAGCTGCCCCTGTTGAGTTCCCGAGACGTTCGCTTTTATAGAAGTAGAGAGTCCATCTTGTTCCCACAGAGCGGCCGGTGGTTTTGAACTGCCGACCTTACTTAATGGTTAGCAGCCCAACGCAGACCTACTCTTCCACCAGGGCTCCCTTTCCATAACCACACCTGGGACAAATGGGGAAACTAAACTTTAGAGACCTTCTCCAAGCCCTGTCCCCAACCACCTAGCACCTGGGCATGAGAAATGAGGTGACCTAGACCCCTGGCTGAAGCCCTTCCTTTGCCTCTCTCCCCCAGCCCCCACCCCGGACTTACTCAAGCAGGGACTTTCGGATGATGAAAACTTTCCGTTTCTCAACGGCTGGCTTCCTGGTCCTGAATTGCAATGGTTGTTCTGGGTCAAAACCCAATGGAGGTGGCAAAGGCCAGAGGGCAGGGTCACAGGGAAGCTCAGTACTTGGGAGGCAGAGGGAGTAGAGGAAAAGTCAGGGCCAGAGAGCAAGTCCAGCTGGAGGGTCAGGGCCAGGGCAGAGCCGGTCATCCCTGACAGAGGAAGGCACAGAAGACATGCACTGAGGGTCAGGACGAAGGGGCAGTGAGGGACAGAGAGGGAAGATCGCCATCAGAATCGATGCCAAGGCTGACAGAGGCACCGCCGAAGGTGGAGTCTGTGGCTCTAGGTCCTGCCAGAGGAGGGGACCCCTGCCACCGTTCCCCAGCTTCCTGGCTCCTCGGCGGACTCTTACTTGCTCAAGGAATCTGTGGGAATGGAGAGGGGGGCTCCACCCTTTGGCGGGTAAGATTGCGCGGCCTCCCATATGGCCCGATCCAGCAGCTCCAGCAGCTGTCCCTGAGCTTGCTCCAGCAACTGCGTCTTCACCGCCTGTAGAGAAAACCAGGGGCAAGACCCACCGCCCCGCATCCCGCCAGCCAGCCTCTGGCTCCCCAAACACGGACTGAGCTCTAGGCTGGGCCCGGGATCCACTGCCAGGACTTAAGGAAGCACAAGCCACGGTCCCTGCTGAGAAGGTCCCCAGGAATGTCTCCCTTTCTGGCCCCCAGGGCAGCACTGAGGGCCAGGGAGGACCCAGGAGCAATGCTTCCACTCTCTGAGCCCGAAACCCAACCCAGGGCACATCTCTGAACCCTCCTCCTCTTAGATATGACCCACTAATTCTGCCCCCAGCAAATTCTCCGTCTACTGGTGACCTGGGTCCCTGTCCTGAGGACCTGGGCTTCCAAAGCTGAACCAACCCTTCACTCAAATCTGATCTTGGAACTCAGGAACCAATTGCTGGTTCTCACCACACAGGTCCCCACCCCTGCCTCCCTCTTTTTGACATCTGCCCTGGGACCCCTTACCTCCATATGTCGAGTCCATTGCACCAAGTCCGGGGGTCTCTGGGGCTCAGCGTTCCCTAGGAGGAGTGGGTCAAAGGGCACACTCAGGGGAGAAGAGTTAGGGTTTAGCAGCCTGGTGCAGACCCAGAGGCATCTTCCGTCCAGTCCAGGAAATACAAACTGGTTGCTCAGCAGCGCCCACAGCAGATTAGTTAATACCTCGTCTCCTGGCCAGGGCAATCAGATCGGAAGGAGAAGTTCTCTCGGCAGGGGTGAGGGGACCCTTGCGGAACACGGAGCACCCAGGGAATGTTCACCCTCTGGGAAGACCACGACCACACCAGCTCAAACTCAGGAGCCTGCCTCTGTGCCTCCGGTCTCCTAAGAAGGCCTTTGGGGGCAGGGGCCGGGGGTCTGCCTTCCCTCCGATGTCTCCCAGGACAGCAGGAGGGCCCTCCCCACAGTGCCTCTCACCTCCCAGCCGCCTGAGCTTTCTGTGCCCGCAGAGGGCAGCTCAGCTCAGCTCACCTTCTCCCGAGGGCCGGCGCTCCTGCTCACTGCCTCCCAGCCCTTCTCTCCTCCGCACCTGGGGGCCCTTAGGCTCCATGGCGTGAGCTGTGAGCGGGCAGCAGGTGAGCGGGCAGCAGGCCGTTTGCTGGCCTCCTCTTCACTGTGAGCACTCGCCCCACACAGCTCAGTTGATAGCCCCAAAGACCAAAGTCCTTTTAGCAGGACACCTCCGGAAATGTGACAGGTTATCTGGTCCAGAGGGCAGCGCTCAGCTACCTGCTGTCCGATGGCTGTCCCAGGGACAGACACATCCCCTCCACACCCCTATCTCCCAGAAGCCAGGTGTGCTCGCTCTCCCTCCCCCAGGAAAGGTGGCTGTGCACGTGGGGGACTTTGCCTCTCGGAGGCTTATCACTAGTAGAGCTTTGCCTCCCCTTCCGGCCTTTCGGGATGCAGGCTGAAGGTCGGGGAGGAGTCCAAACCATCTTCAGGTATCAGAGCCTTCAGTTTCCAGAGCCCAATAAGATCAGGTGTGGGAAAGAGTGTCGTCAGCTCGAAGCATTAGATGCTTGTGAGTAAAAGTCTGCTAAGGGGGACCAGGAACATCTGTGCGGATACAGTGCCTCTACCAGATCTTCGTTGTCAGGGCCCTGGGATGTCAGCCTTTCCTACACCTGTTTGGGTTCACAGGTAGGCAGAAAGACCAAACAAGCACTTATTCAGCACCAAGGGTATGTTAGATATTGTTACATATGGCAAAACCAGATGCGAGTCCAAAGCTTTGCTCATTGACCGGCTGGGTCGTGTGGGGAAGTGGGGGAGCCAATGTCCTCTTGTGCAAAATAGGTACAAAAAGCCCTACTTGGGCAGCTTGTCGTGAGCACAAACTGGGGTCAACCAGGTGAAAACATGCCGTCCAGGGCGTGGTCCCCACAGCAGGAGTTCAAGAAACAATCCTTTCCTTCTCCCCACCCCCCACCCCCTTGTTTGTTGGAAATAGACAAGCAGGAAGGGATTCGAGAGGCCCTCTTTGCTGAGTTTGGGCTGGGGATTAACTATTAATCCATCCCCAGCCTGCCTGTTCAAAGATCAGTGTTGGAGACAAGGTCACACCTTCTGGTGGAAGCCATGACTCCAGTGCCCCCTCACCCCCACTCCCACCCCCCACTCCCTGGTGGCTGGGTAAGTGAGGCTTGATGGTTTGAAGCTTCTACCAGTGACCATCTCCTGTTGGCTGAAGCTCAGCAGGAAGGCCTGAAGGTGGTCCACAGGGAAGGAGGGATGGCCGGGGAGGGGTTGAGGGGTCTCCACAGATATGAGAAATCAGAGATAGAGATCAGACTCCCAACACAGCTTTATTAGCACCCGAGCCTGAGCCAACAATCTCTCTGTTAGAGGACTGTGTGAGGCCCCAGGGTGACAGGGACAGTGGGACAGGGCCTGTAGGCGGCATGTGGGACCCAGGGGCCCTGAGTTATTTATTCATCATTCAATAAATAACCCAAGCTGCACCCGTCCATGCTTCTGCTGGCGGCCCTGCAGCCCGACATCCTGCCTCAGCCACTGCTCCCTGTGGGACACGGGGCGCTTCCGTTGTTGCCCTGTGCCCTTGGTAGGGGCTGGCCCATCCGATCCACACACCAGCAGGGGCCCCTGCGCTGGCCCTGGGAGGAGCGGCACTGTGGGGAGAGAGACACAGATCAGCAAGGCTCAAAGCTGCCGACAGAAGAGCTAAGGGGGGGAGGCTTGAACTTAGACCCCTAAAGTCTGTGTTCAAGAGACATCTGAGAGTCCCCTAGAGCGTGATGTCACCGGGCTCTCCCCTCTTAGACTTGCCTCTTCTCCACACGATGAACTGCACCCCCTCTTCGAGGCGCCAACAGCACTTCCCCTGGGTCTTCACACCCAGTCTCAGCAGCCTTGGGAGAACTGGTTCACAACTCAGATTCTCAGCCCCACCCTAGACCTACAGACTCAGACCCTCTACAGCAGGCCAGCACCCCGCCAGGAGTTCTGACGAGCTTCAAGTCGGAGAAGCACTTCGTTAGGCTCTTCCTTAGGTGTTGCAACTCCTCAACTGTGGTTGTTAACCACAAGGTCAGCAGTTCGAAACTGCCAGCCACTCCATAGGAGAAAGACGAGGCTTTCTACTCCCATCAAGGGTTACAGGCTCAGAAACCCACCGGGCCGGTTCTACCCTGTCGAGGGTCGCTCCGAGTCAGAATCGACTGGATGGCAGTGAGTTTGGATTTGGATTTTCCTCACTCACTCACTCACTGCCTTCGAGGGGCTACCAACTCACAGTGACCCCAGAGGGCAGGTAGGACTGCCCTTGCAGGTCACAGCCCAACATGTAACCACGATGCCACCGGGGCTCTTCGGTGGGGGTCTTAAAGCTGTAAGCTTCCTTGAAGGTGGAGGTAGTCTCTTCTCTAGGCGGTTTGTAAGTACCATGGAGCATAGCAAGAAAGGAGAGCCCTCACCTGCCGCTTCCGGTAGAAGCCTAGGTGGTCACAATTGGGCACGTAGAGGGTGTGAGCACCACGGAAGACCTCTGTCTGGAGTTGCTGCAGCACTGATTCCAGATGTCTACGGCAGGGACCCTGGCAGAGGGAGGACAAGCGGCTTGGACCTGCCCCAGCCCACCACCTACTGCATAGCCCACTGGGCCCCCACCCAGGTGGCCAGGACAGACCTCAGACAGGAAGGACAGATAGCAAGGTGCACCAACATTGACTCTGCCAGAGAGAATGGTCTCAGCTGGTCCTCAGGAACCCCCACCCCTCCTGCTCCCTGCCAGACCCCCAACGCACCATCTCTGTGTCTTGGACACCCCCAGGCTGAGCCGAAGTGGTAAAGGTCCCCGGGTTCCTCTCGTGGTCTCTGTGGTTCACATCCTGTGGGCGAGTGGCCCCTGCTTGGGGTCTACTCTCCTTAGGGTTCTTCCCTACAGCCACACGGGGAGAGAAAAGACTAGAAATCAGGCCAGATACCGAGACCAGAGCTGAGTGGGAGAGAGCCCTGTCCATCCCTGCCTGTCGAGGTGGGACAGAGGGCCTGGGGGACAGATGGGCAAGGGAGGGACGTTTGTCCCTGGCCCCACTCCTCAGTTTCATTCTCTGGCATGAGATGATGTTACCCTTCTGGAAAATACTGAGACCATTTAAGGAAGGAAGGGAGGGAGGGAGGGAGGGAGGGAGGGAGGAAGGAAGGAAGGTTTTCAAAAGCAAAAATTGAAGAGCCGATCCAAAGCATTCCTGGTTTCTTGGCTTTGAAACGGCCAGTCTCTCAGTAGGAGAAAGATGAAGCATTCTGCCCCCATCAAGATTCACAGCCTGGCAAACCAACCCACAGGGGCAGTCCTGCCGGGCCCGCTGTGAGTTGGACTCACTGCAAGGCAGTGAGATTTTGGGAGGCCTTGGGTTTCCAATGAGATGATCTGGCTGTTCCAGCAGAGGCCAGCAGGGGGTGCACCAAGCCTGGGAGATGGAGCAGAAGAGCCACAGATGCTAGCTAGCGCACTGGGAGTCAGCCAGAACCCAAGTGGAATGTGTGTCCCCTATGTGACCCTGTTGTGACTCAGCCCACCCCTCTCTGGCTTCTGGGGACTTCGTGGAGGGGCCTCTCCCGTGGCGCAGACTAATTCAAGCCCAGTGGTCCCAGGAGCATGCAAGGAGTGAGGGCCTTCCACCCAGTAGACTGCTCCTGGCCCTGGAGAATGCTTCAGACTAGAACGTTTCAGACTCAGGGCCTGGGGGTGCAAGGCAGGCTTGGGGGAGCTCAGGGCTGGAAACTGGAAAGGAAAGGCAGGCAGGGGAGAAAGTACCATTTGGAATTTGCCCCAGGGGTACAATTACACCTCTGGAAAGACATTTTCCTCCTGCATGCTCAGTTCCTCTCTCCCATCCTCCCCAGTCCTCCAACCTAGGCAGTAACTCCCGGATGCTACAAGCTGCCCAACGGCCTTGGCCATTTCCTCTCCAACCCTGCCCTCCCGCCCACACATACACACACTCCTTGGACCTGGCCCCTCTGTCCCTGCCTCCCACACGGTGCCTTCTAGAAGCTGTAGCAGCCTGTACCCCAGCGCTGGGACTGAAAGAAACTGAAGTACATTTCCCATCCCTTCCACTGAAGGTCGGGGAGCCCAGATGCCCTGGGAGAGGGGGGCACACAGATAGAATTTCCCACCCTCATCTCCCTTCAACTTTTGGGTGCTGACTCATTTCTGTCCCACCCACCTGGTGACTCAAGCTTTCTATTCTCTTCCCTGGAGGTAGGGTGGGGTGGGTGACCCGGGTAAGTGCAGGAGGGGGTTCTGAACGCCCGTGGCCATTGGTTTTCAAGCTCCAGACAATCTCTCACAGCTGGAGTTGGAAACTGCTCATTGGCAAGCCCCCAAGCCCCCTACACACACACCCTGCTTCGAGTGGTGCCCAGGGCACTTGCCATACCTGGGGTACCCCAGCTATGCCCCTGGTTCCGAGCAGGTTTAACTCTGACTTCCCTCATCTCGGGGCTCTGCCTTCTCTCTCTGCTTCAGTCTGGCCATCCTATGTTCTGGGCAGGGTCTTTGGCCACTCTGGTATGAAGAGGAGAAACATTCCCCACATAGTCTGGGTTCTGGGGTCCCTTCCTTCCTTTTCCAAGATGGGAACAACATCTGGGTCCTTGTTCTAACTTGGGGTCTGGAGCTGACGGAGCTGGGCCTGCAGGCAGCCTGCGTGGGGTCCACAGACAATAGGGCCTGTGGTAGTTTTAACTTGCGGGAGTGATCTTTCACAGCCCGGGTTGGAGAGGGAGGGCGTTGGCGAATAGGAATGGCGCCCTGGCCACACCACACCCTCCTGGGGGCAGGGGGTGGGCGCAAGACCCTCCAGCCACTCTTGGGCTGGAAACCCTCCCTCCACCGAGTGGATCCGCGTCAGAGTGACCCTGTAGAGAGCTTCCAAGGCTGAAATCGTTACGTAAGCCGACAGCCTTTTCTTGCTCCCGCAGAGCGGCTGCTGGGTTTGCAGCGTGGACCTTGTGGTTAGTGCAATGCTTACCCAGCGGCGCCGCCAGGCATCCCATCCAGCCCCCAAACCTCAAACGCACCGCCATCGAGTCGATGCCGGCTCATAGCGACCCTGCAGGACAGGGTCGAACTGCCCCAGTGAGTTTCCCCGAGTGTAATTCTTCATGGGAGTAGAAAGCCCCGTCTATCTCCCGCGGGGCGACACGTAGTCTCGAACTGCTGATGTTCCAGTTAGCAGCCCAACGCCTAACCACCGGGGCTCCTTCTAGCCTTTACAGAAGGGGCAGGAAAGGACGCGGGAACACGCCGACGTCTCCCTGCGTTGTCCCCGGCTCCCGAGGGAGGCGGGACCCCAGCCTTCTACCCGCTCCCGGACCCCCAGGCCCTCCAAGGAAGAGGTCAAAGGCAGGGAGCCGGAGGCCAGCCGCGCCGCCCGCCGCACCTCGGGGACCAGCCCTCACGTGGCGAGGCGGGGCTGCGCGCGGACTCACCCGAGGGTGCGCGCGCCCGGCGACAGCTGCCGCGCCCGGCCAGCAGCGCGCGCAGAGGCTCCTTGTCCCCCGCGGGCGGCTGGCACTGCAGTCCCGGGGCGCAGGAGGCGGTGTAGACCCCGCACTGTTCTCCCTCCCTCCGGAAGCAGCCCTCCGCTTTCGTGCAGGCTTCGTCCGCGGGCAGCCCCGCGTCCTCCTCCTCCACGCAGCCCCCGGGGCAGCCCGCCTGCGCCCCTTGCCCGCAGCCTGGGCACCGGGCCAAGGCGCCTCCTGCGCGGGCAGCGAGCTGCAGGGTTAGCAGCAGCAGCAGCAGCGGCGGCGGCAGCAGCAGCCCTCGGAGGGTCATGGCGAGACTTTGTGCCCGATCCGCTCCTCGTAGACCAGAGCAGGCAAAGCGCAGCTGCCGCCCGCCGCCGCCCCTCCGCCTTAAGTAGTCGCTGGCTCGGGGGCTGGGCCTTTTAAGAGCCAGGTGCAGTGGGGGGGTCGGGGGGTAGTCAGGGGCAATTCCTAAACTGGGTGGGACTGGAGGGAGCCCCCCCTCCTGCCTCCCTTCCTCCTTCCCGCCACCTGGGTCCTCCCCACGCTTTTCTCCCCACTCCCTTTCCAGTCTATTCGCTTCCAAATTGCTCTGATATTTCTTGCGTTGTCCCTGGGACTCGTCCCGGAACTTTGGGAGCTGGACAGCTGGCTAGATTTGGGCGTAGGAAGGGGAGGCCTGGAGTTGGATGGAGAAGGAACCGTGGGTCTGTGAGAGAAGGTGAAGGGCTGTAACACTCCCCGGGAGAGAGGGAGGGGGCCGCCCCAGGAATAGAGAAGGGATAGGGCTGGTGAGAGGGAGGGGCCCCTGGACAGGTGGAGAGAGAAGATGGGCACGCTGATTAAGGGGGTCGGAAGTCCAAGAGGAGCCCACCCGTAGCTGATGGGAGGACCAGTAAACTGAGGAGAGAAAAAACAAAAACTCAAACCCTCTCCCACAGGGTGGATTCCCACTGCGAGTGATCCCCTAGGCAGGAGACCTGCTTCCTAGGGGTCCTGAGACTGCCCATCTGTATGGAAGCAGGCTGACTTTCACAGTATTCTCCCTCGGAGCCAGCCTGTGGGTTCAAACCGCTGACCGTGTGGTTAGCAGCCCAATGCTTAGCCAACAGTCACCAGGACTCCTGAAGGAGAGGAAACGTTGGGGAAGGGACAAGAGATGAGAAGGGACTGTGGGTAAACAGATCTGAGGGAAGCCAGACTGGGGTAAAATGATAGAAGGGCTTGGGGGAGCAAGGGGAGGCGGGTGGAGGGTGTACCCTGGCCTGGGGGTCGTCTACAAGGGCTGCAGAGGGAGAGCAGGCAAGGTGAGAGCTGACTGCGCTAAGGACCGGACTTGGGCAGCGAAATCATGTGGAGAGCTGAAAAGTTTCAAGTTCGAGGGCTCCAGGCTGTGGGGTGATCTCGGGCATAGTGGTCTGAGTGCAGACCTTCACCCTCATCCTTCAACCAGGTCTGCCCTCCTCTCCACATCTGTCTCCCCTTCCCAGTCTCAGGTGCCCCCTCCCTCCACTCCTCTCTCCCTCCACATCTGTCTCCTCCGTTGGGTTTTCTGGGCCCATCAGCTGTGCTGCTCCAGCCCCAGGGACAGGGGCTGGGGCAGGGGGGCCGTTTTGCAGGAGTGCAGCATCCCAAATGGGAGCTGGTCCAGGCATTTGTCTGCTTGCTTGCCTGCCTTGGCTCCACTGACCTGCCTCTCCTCCTCTGCAGCCCAGCCCCACCCCTCCCCAGAGCCCAGCTTGGGCCTCCTCAAGAAGAGGAACTGCTTCCTGCCCACACCCGCCCAGCTCAGGCTTATGCAACGGCTGGTCTCATTCTTTCCTAAAACAAGGGCTGCGGGCAGTGACTAAGTTTAAATGCTGGGCCCCCAAGCCAGAATGTCAGCAAGGGCTCCCTGAACTTTTATATAAACACCAAATACAAACCCTAACTCCCAGCACCACCCCTCCCCAGGAGAGCTCTCCTGGGACCCTAGGGCCAGTGTTTGGGGAGGTGCATCTTCCCACAGCCTGGAGACCCTGCGGCACATTGGATGGGCAGGAGGAGGCCAGCGTTAGGGGAGCAAGGCTCTTCCACCACCTGCTTCGAGCTCTGACCCAGGTGGGGAGTCCAGTTCCTATCTGCAAACCCTGACCACTGTTTGGCCCTGAGCATGGTTCTGGCTGGGACTCCAGCCTGTTGCTCAATGGACAGGCCGCTGGGAAATAGAGATGCAGGAAAAGATTGGCCCCGGGTGTCAGTGTGATTGTTTCAATTTGTTTGTGCTTTTTTTTTTTATTGCAGAGAAAGCGCAGGACTCTGTTAGCCTCCACCGCCACTGCTTCCTCTTCCATGGCCACATGTGGCCAGAACGCTTTCTCTCCCTCACTGCTCCCACCTGCCCAGTCTGGGCCCACCCTGAAATCTCTGCTGGGCTACTCTCCCCTTTTACCACCCCTCCAGCAGAGATGTCCAGTCAGGTGTCTGTCGGTGCTGGGGGCAGACGGGTCTCCTGCTTGCAGCCTGAGACCCCGCGACTAGGCTTTTCCATTTTTTAGGCTACGTTGTGTCAACATCCACACGGCTCTGAAGGACATGGTGTGTGCTCAGGACAGAGTGTGGGCCAAGGTGCATGCCCCTCTGGGACTCTTGTCTGGCTCCAGGTGAGAGCAGAGTTGGCCACCAAGCAAATGGGGGTGCTACGTAGGCTTTTCCATAAATAACCTCTGCAGGAAATTCCTCTTCCTCTTGCAGATTACACTCCATTGTGTTATTCTCACAGCGCTCTGCATCCCTCACCCCAAGCCCAGCCCTGGGTCCCTGGCTTCCTTTGGGAATGTGCAGTGAAGGAGCAAGGCCGGCTGGAGCTCCAAGTTTGAGCTGAGACAAGTGGCTGGGCAGTCCACAGACAGAAAGAGGAGGTCCACTGACCCCGTCATGGTGCATCTTACGTGCCTCAGAAGCCACTCCAAAGGAGAGGTTGTCTGCTCCCCCAAACGATTTTACAGCCTTGGAAACCCGGGTCAGTTCTCTGCCCCAATATGCTCATTGTGTGTCAGCATTGAATCAATTGGGTTTGAAGATCAGTTTACCGAGGGACTCTGGTGGCCTAGTGGTTATGAATTCAAACACTGGTGGCATCGTGACGTGCCAACGTGGAGGTGAGTTCAGATCCGGGCCTAAAGAGTAAGTCAGGGCCCTGGTCTTGGAAGTCCCACCAACCTCTGTCCGACCAGGAATCCTGGTCTCCTTTATGATTTGGAGTTCTGGTCCACATTTTTCTCACACGGTATTGGGGACCTTGTGATGTGATCCTTTCAGAGCAGCTGACAGGGGTAGTCAGACACCACTTGGTCGTTCTGAGCTCAGGGTGGTAGGGACCGATATTGTTTGTGGGCCATCAGTCCATTGGACTCATTGTTTCCACATGTCTTTCAGTTTTCATCTCTCTTCTGTCCTCTGGATGGGGAGAAACCAAGAGTTGCACCTGAGATGGATGGACGCTCACAAACTTTTCAGACCCCTCTTACTGCCAGGTCACTGG